AACTATCCACAAAATATCTTTCTCAGATCCCTGTTATTGCATACTTGAACAAATGTACATACATATTATAGACCCACCGTTTTTTAGGGTGCTTTTATGAGACGAGGACATGAAGATGGGGAATTGTACCATGACAGACACACTTAAGCAAATTCATTAGTGCTAAAAGTGGGTTAGTATAAAATAGGTTTGGGTCGGTGGGCCAAATTTTTCAATTCATTCTAAAAAATAGAATGAAATGAGCTAGCTTATTTTTTGATGGGTTGATGGCGGGACGAAATATATATTTCGCCGCCTCTACTCGCAGCTAGGGGTGCTAAGCAAATCAAGGGTCTTTCAGGGGCCTTTGGCTCAGCTCGTGAAGGTCTGAGCTTACATGTCTAAAATTGGTTGTTGGCAGACTTGTATAAAAGCTCGTTTAATAAAGAGGCATCAGGCTCCAATTTAAAAGTTCGGCCTTAAAGCCTCTCGGGCTGGCCTAATATATTATTTTTTATTTATATTTTATATTTTGATATTACTTGTAATAGTCTTCTCTTTCTCCTCAATCCATTTCACCCCATTTTATTGGTTAAACAGATTTTTTGAATGATTTTGTTTTATATTATATTGTTTGGATATAAATAATTTATGAATATTCATGGAATTACTAGTTTTGTTGATTGTATATTCTGTTTAGATAAATTTTTGTTGTCTTATTTTTTTTAAACAGGCTAAATAAGGCTTTTATTTTTTGTAAATAAGTCAGGTCACAAACCGATAGTTATATTTATAACAGGTAACATGCTTGATCAGGCTGACATATTTAAACACAGACTTAACATTTTAAGACCAAAGCTCGGCTTGGCTCGGTCCGTTAACACCCTTACCGGTAGCATATGAGATATACCCTTTATTTTAGGCATGGTCTCGGGTTGGCCCAACCAATAATAATACCCTTCGTTTCATCTTCTCATTGGTCTAGTCACTTCTAATCATGAGGAATTATTTGCAATTTCTTACTAGTGTCAACACATGCTTACAAATTGTTGCAGCTGATTCCAACTTTATTAATTGCAGTGGCAACCTCATGAACCATAATTAAATATGACACGACACTAAAATTAAGATTAAGGAATTATTATTAATTTTAGTGGGGGGCGCAATTTTATTTCTTCATCCATTTGATTCTTTATTTATTTAAATATGAAGTCTCATGTTCAGCTGTCGGTGGACATGAGGGATTACACATTAATACCAACATCATGTTGTTAAATCCAAATGGTTAGTCCTGTGTGACTGTAGAGAAGAAATTGATAGCTCTGTGACCTCACTCTGATATCAAGTGCTAGGATCAAGTGTTTACCATAATCCTAACACTAGGTACCCGGATAAGGATATATCTCCACAATACACTCACAAAACTATTTTTTTATATTAAGATAATAATAAAAAGGTTTGAAAATTATGGTTCATTAGATTCATAATTGCATCCCCGGCAATTCGAAAGTAACTACAGAGAAACTACCGAAAAGAAAAAGGGAACTGTAGGGATCCAATTCCTTAGGTACCACATTGTTTGGGCAGATACTGGTATCCGGAGACTTTGTTATGCGGATATAATATGCCTTGGATTATCCGAAAATTTACATTTTATATTTTGTCCCAAATGTACATATGCACACAGATGCTTCCGAGTTGGGATTTCTTTAGTATTAATCACATTTAACAGCCAAAACAGTCGTCTTATTATGGCTCAAGGGATTTTCAAATATATGGAAGCTTGTGATTCGGTCAAAACAATTAGCATGTGTAAATTATTGTCGTTATGCGTCTTGTTTTATTCATGGTTTTGAGGTAGTTATGCTAATGAAATGATGGACGATGTTCGTTGGGACTTGGCAATGGTTGCCATGCCACCCCCAGTTCATAAGGGTCCCATCGTTTGGTGGCCATCGCTGTGGTCCTGTGGATGGTTCGAGTGGGGGCACACATATGTATGGCAGCTTCACTGCATTTCAGTTACCATACCATATGAGTATTTTTTTGCGTTTTTGTTTTGTTTTGTTTTGTTTCTTTTCGCAGAATACATGTGCGCCAGGTTCGCATTTTACGGAAAATCTAAATTTAGCTATATTTTCTTACTTTTCTCTTTTCAATTATTGAGGAGTCTTCTTTAATCTTTCAGTCATTTTTAGCATATTTATGTCAAAACCTTTGATGTTTCTGGGATGAATATAGATAAGTTATTTGTATTTACTTTCAAAATGACATCATTTTGAATTGAAAAATTATAATGAAAAGACTATTATAACCCTGAAACAAATTATAATTATAAAAATATCTTGATTTTTCGTCTCAAAATGACATCGTTTTAGGTTCAATGTAGATAAATCATCTACATTTACTCTGTAAAAAAAGCGTTTGTTGAACAAAAAATGTTTGAAGTAAAATATAGCAGCAGCAAATAGTGAAAAATAAGAAATGTTCAAAGACAATTTTAAATAGAGTAATAAATATTTATAACTTTATCCTTTTTATAATTATCTTTAAACATTTAAACGAATAATAGTAATAAGTATTTGCAATTTTGTCTTTTTCATATGTACTATCAAATTAATAGTTAAGAATGTTAGTTTTAGAAAAATTAAATTGGAGATCAAAAAGTGCATAATTCCCTTTAAATAGTGTGGTATAGAATAGTGACATGGGTTTCGGATCCTCAATCATGGGCCTTCTCTCCAAAGTCTGAAGTTTATAAATGTTGGAGTACCTGCGAATCTGCGATCGAGGAAGAGATGAACGTAAAGCTCCTTGTGTCAATTTCTTACTTGAGTTTATGTAGAGAATACAACACAATCTGTATTACTCATTTGTTTTTTTTTTTTTTTATAAGGTGTATTGTATATTACTTAGAAAGGACGATTACTTCTGTCGGTTCATTATTCACCAATAATGTCTTCAACCACTTTAATTGATCGAAAAAATTGTGTTGTTGAGATCTCTCCCAACCATGATTAATTCATGTAATGAATCCAAATGATCCATGCTTTCACTTTTGCTCCCCAAGTTCACTTCTGATTGAATGCTTGATGTGAAGTTACTTTTGAAAGACACCACAATAATGGGCTTTAAAATATTAGCTTTAAGCACGTTTCTTGTTGATTTTTTCTTTTTTTTAATAAATAAAAGTTTAAGTAGAGTTAGACATCGGTATCCAACTAGGGTCAGGGAAGACCCCCAATATTTCTGGGAAAGATTACATATTACCCACCAACAAAGTCCTCACATTAGCCAGCGGGGTTTGAATTCATGCCCTTGAAAAGTATAGACCAAACCCTTAACCTTAACTAACTGTGTCCACCTTTGTTGTCACGTTTCTTGTTGATTTAGTTAACTATGGAAGTTTATTCAAAATAATAAAGGAAATTGGGACCATCAATATGCTTTGTCTGCTGAATTAATTGATTAGTGATTTTTCAGCAAACTAATGATAAATAATGGTTTTTGGTCATAATATTAAATTTAATAGAGCTAGGCTCATATGTTAGAATCACAGGGGGAGTCAGTATCTTTTGCAAATCATACATCCACTAATGCGGTAAACCACAAACCACAGTAGATAGGTTGATACAATGATACTATATCTTTGGATAATTTTCAAATTTAAGGAATTATAAAATAAAATAAATATATTTTATTTAATATAAATACTATTCAAATTTATATTGTTTTATTTTTACGCTATTTTATTTGTACATTGATTAACGCTATTTAATTATCATATTTTGGCAGCGTATAAAGTTTTGTCCAGTTTTGTATTAGATATAATTTTATTTTCTGTTTTCAAAATTGTATGAGGAAAATGGTCAAAATATCAGAATAATTTTTTGACAGAACAATATTTCTGCAATTAATGCAGATAAGTTATCTGCATTTACTTCCAAAACGACGTCGTTTTGAAATTGAAAGATTAAAAAATTATAATTATAATAATCCTGAAATAAATTAAAATTACAATAATATCATGATTTCCGTCCCAAAATGACGTGATATTGGACTTACTGCAGATAACTTATTTGCAGAAAAAATGAACCCATTTTTTAAAATTATTTCCTTTACAGATTTCAAAAAGAAAAAAAAAATTATACTCACAAATATAAATACCAAACTGCAGAAAACTAAAAGAAATCAATCACCTCTTAAATTTGTTTGGATTCCCATTTCCCAAAAAGATGGCGCTTCTTTTTCTATATTGACTCAACTATTTCAACAACGAATTACATTATCTTCATCCGTTTCTAAAAGCAAAAAAGAATTATCGTCGAATCGCACCAAATCAACATTTTTTTTAAAGATATTTTTATATCTCTAAGTGCCCAAACTAATTATTTTCATAAAATACGTTTTTAAGACTTCAATCTTTATCTTTCTCTAGAAATCTAATTCGCCTAATGGGCCTTAATGGCATTCACTTTCCTAATGGGCATACATTTGCCATCTTTTAAGTGACAAGACCCAAATCCGCTTTATTTACCGTTCATTTTTCATTGCTACCCAAATCCGCTTTATTATTATTATTGTTGTTATTGTTGTTTTGGGTCAGATTTTATACGCGTTTATTGGATGAGGAATCTAAACTGGAACTCATCAATAGCCTGTCTAGCCAACAATAAATTAAACACGTCACATGCTTAAAATTGGGCTCACGTTTACGCCTGGGCCAAACCCTATTATTTTCAAGCACTGTCGCTCAATTAAATTTCTGCAAGTTTTAACCCAAATTTTCTTTCCGGCAAGTTTACTTCAGCTTATATTGCCTTTGTTTCTTGCAGAATATTAATGTCATGTTACATCAGAGTAGTTCTCTCGTGCTATAGAGAGAATTCAAGTGGGGCCTACCATTAAAAAGAAAAAAAAATAAAAATAAAAAATAAATAGAGGGTGCGATTTTCGAATTGATAAAAAAATAAGATAATTATCTCACGTAAAATGAGAGTAATATTTCCTTTGTTTCTTTGTGTTATCTTCTATTGATTGACCTTTGTTTGTTTGGGCACAGTTCATAAAGCTATTGTTTCGGAGAGCAGATTACAGGCTCTGGAGGTTAGCACAGTTAGCCTCATGAACAAATCCATGACAAGTACATCTATGTTTATTGTGGTACATCTCACCCACGTGTGACAATCTAGTGATGAATTCTCAGATATTCGATTGCAACCAAAAACCTCTCTTCCAAAGATTTCGTTCCATTCAATCCCAGAGTTTATTTAATAGCAATATGACATATACCTTCCTATCATTATGAGATATGTAAATATCATAAGACATAGTAATGATGGTTACTAACACTGTACAAAATAACCACACAAAAAAAGAGGCAATTATTGAAGCCAAAGCTTTCTCATTACTCTCATTTCATAACAGCTATGATTCATTTCCCTGTCCACGCGCACCTTTCAATCAAACTTCTGGAATTTCTTCATATAGACGCAAACTAATTATTCACTATCAGATCAACGGCTGAAATTGGAAGGTTAGTTTCCCTTAACCACTGTAACGGGGCAAGAAGCATTTGTCACCACGTGCTTGCTTACACTGCCCAACAAAACCCTGAAAGAAAAAAAGTTTCTTGTTCAGATTATCTCTTTGAATCACATTAAACTGATAATTATCTAAGATTCCGCAAATTAATCTGGTGAAAGATATATGGTAATGAAATTTTTATTTTTTATTAAAAAAATATAGCATGTGCTTTGTTACCTTTTTATGGGACCTAAACCCCTGCTTCCAACAACCAAAGAGTCAAGTTGAAGATCTTGCACAGCACTGCACAACTTCTCCCTTGGATCACCCCAGTAAACCTTCGCCACTGCCTTTGCCTGCTTCAGAGCACCAATATTAAAAAAAAAACATATATATAGTTACTATGTTTGTGTTAATTAATTTACAACATATTTTCTTCCCATAGACCATAATAACTGCAGAAGAAAAAGAAACAGCATAAATACCCCTTTAGTCTTGGAGGCAGTGTCAAGGACATCTATGACTTCAGGATCCCTAGCAATCCCATATTGCTTTGTAAAGTTAGTCTCCCTCAATTCCTCCAGAGGCACCAAAGCTGCAACACCCATTAACCAAATAAAACACAGAAAATGTCACGTACAACTTATCATATCCAAAATAGACCTATATAATATATAGTATATGATCAGTACCATATATATATATATATATATATATATATATGTATGAAAGAAATAAGGGGATATGATGGGGCCAAGGCACTAACGTGAACCAGTGTCCTCAAAAAGCTCCTTTCTGGTATGATCAGCTTTGGGAGGCTGAACGTTGATCAAGATGATTTGGTCACCTCTGTTGATGAGATTATCAACGGCCCATCGAAGGGCTAATTTGCTGGTTGGAGAGAAGTCCATTGCTATTCCAACTGTGCGTGCCTTTGCCATATTTGATTTATGCTGCTAAGAACTGAAGGTTTAGTTCCTTTTTATAATTGGTGTTTGGTTGAGGTTAGTTGTATATATATATAGGGAGAAGAAGGTTCGTGAAAGCGCTAGAAAGAAGGAATCAGATGGAGTCTGCTTTGTTCCTTGAAGATAAGTCTCCTGTAGAACAAAAGGTAATTGTGACATAAGGTGGTTTGGAATAAAGGTTACATGAAATTAAGAGACAGGGAACCTTGCTTTCCCAACATAGTAAACGTCACAAAAACACAGCTGTATACCATGGATTGCCATGTCCTATCCTGCCTATTGCGTTCTTTAATTTTCAAGAAAAAACACGCCCCCAAGTTAATCCCTAATAAAAAAAAGGAAATAATTATCTCATGCAACAGAAACAAAATAGATAGTGGGATTCACTATTTTATTTTTTATTTTTATTTTTGAAAAAGTAGTGGACCCCACAATCTTATCTTTGTTGCATGAGATCATGAGATTAATAGATCCCAAAAAAAAATTAGTCCTGTGATTCTTAGTAAATTCAAACGCACACCTCGTTAGTCCTTCCGTCAATCATGGTTGAATGATTTCTACAATGTTGCTCACATGTAACGTTAGTAATCTAAGTCACATGCCATGTAGGATGGGTAAAACAATGTCGTGGCTTAGGGTGTCACCCTACTAAATCCAGAGCAACCCACGTGGCATGACTAAAACGACGTCGTGCGTAAGGTTGTAGGCTTCTAACTCCAGAGCGCATCTCCCTCCATTTCTAACGTTGAGGTAAATTACTACTTAGGGTTTTAAATGAGGAAAACAATTTTGGTTTAATACGTCTGAGTCAGATTGCTAATTTTGGTCGTCTGTATTTTATAATTTAGGGTCTAGGGTTTCGTTGTCTGTATTTTGTATTTTAGGATGAGAAGATGAATCTTTCTTTTGAGATAAGGGGTCAAGTGGAAGCAGTTCACTTGGGGCTAGAACCCAAAGAAGGAATGCTACTCCAAAGTGTAAATGTGGCACGCCGAATATTGTGTACATCTCCAAAACTCAAAGAAACCCAAACAGAGCATTATTTGGGTGCCTCAATTTCAAGGTGAGCATTTTATGGACAACTATAAACATTATCTATCTTTCAATGGTTTAATTCATTTTTTTATTGATGTTGAATGTTATTCTAAGATTGGTTTCATTTGCTGATAGGAGAAGAAACCATATTGTGATTTTTCCAGATGGGTGGATGATGATACTAATGATACCATGAAGCTGGAAGATTGGAGAATTAATAAACTGGAGTTGAATGTAGCTGAAATGAAGTTCAAGTTGAACTATGTGGACATGAAGCTGAATGATAATTTGCAAGTGAAGGTGAGTGAGCATCAAATGAAGATTAATGAGCACCAAATCAAGATTAACGAGCTATCAATGAAGATGGTTGCAGAATTGTATAGGGTGGAAAAGGAAATAAGGCATGTGGGTAAGTGTGGTGCGGTGTTAACGGCTACCATTATTGTTTTGCTCATTATATGTATTTATGTAGGAAGTATGCTAGAATAAGGAAAAGTGTACCTATTGTAATTACTGTTGAAAAGCAATCATGAAATGTAATGGAATGACCACAATTGATATGTAATGAAATGTTATTTCTCATTGCTTTTTTTATATTATACAATGGATTTGATTTTGATCTTGAAATTGATTTTCATTGATTTTTATCTGATTTGATTTAGGCTGTTGATATAAATTCTGCATGATTGCCTCTGTCGAAATTGTATAACAGAGGTCTTTATTTTGAGGGAAATTTTCTCCTGATTTGTAAGTGAGGAAAACTGTAAGTGAGGAAAATTGTAGCAGCTGCTCATGGCAGCATGGAAATGGACTATGTTATGGAAAACAATGGTGGAAACAACATTGGTGCTGCAAAGTAAGTATGATAGTTGAAATAGTCCATATGTTGCATAATGATTTTGTGAGGATGAATGTTCGATATGTCGCAACTGTGTAGTAAAGTAATTTACTAGAAATTTACATGTCTGACTATAAGGACCTGTGCAAAATAAATAAAACAATTATATATCATGCCAAAATAAAAACCAAATAACAGCAGCATTTGAAAATATAGCTTACAAAACCTCAGCTTTTCAAAAAAATGGCCAAATAATATAGACTAAAAAAGGCTAGAGTCAAAGATGCCCACAAAAGTACCCTAATTACATTTACTAAGATGGCCAGAAATTCAACCCCCCCAAAAAAGGCCTAAATACATAGTCTAAATTGGGTTAACTACATTGACTGGTTCAATTTCCTTGAGCTGGCCTTGGTACTCTAAACCTAATTGTAGACATAAACCTTATAAATCTGTTTCTGGTGCTACTGCTAGCTGCACTCATTGCCTCATTGGACATCACTTTAGTTGTTGGAAATGACGGACCTGGGTTGCTGCCTCTTGTAGGAATTTCAGTGGGCTGGGAGTTGAATTCTTGAACAGGGCCTCCTTGACCAAGTGCAATTTCTTCCTCTGGCCTTGAGTCAACACTCATGTTCACTGGTCCTTGTTTCGAACGTTGTGGTAAAGCAGACCCCTTACAAGTCTTTGCATAATGATCAGTCTGACCACATTTGGGACATTTAACTTCATATGAACTTTTTAATTTACCTGCATCATTCCCTTGTTCTTTAGTAGGATCCTTTCTCCTATGTTTTTTGGGACGTCCAGATGGCCTTTTAAGTTGAGGAGGTACTGGTTTAGGGGCATCCGAAGAAGGCCAATACTCTGGGGAATTCACTGGATTTAGAGTGTGTTCATAAGTAGCATGCAAAACATCCTTTGTCAACCATTGGTGTACATAATTTTCAACCAGTTTATTCTTGTGAGCTATTACTGTAATAACATGTTCACATGGCAGTACAGTCAATTGCCACATATTACATACACAAGAGTGAGTTGTTAAGTTCATTCCAAGCCTTTCACCCTTTTCCACATACTTCATACATATCTTGGACAGAATCCCAGTCCATGAATTACTAGCTATCTTCAAAACATCAAGCCTTTTCTGTAGTGCAGGTGCTATTTTCCACTAACTGTTCCCAAGACCATCTTGTGTGCTGCAATCCTCCTTGTGGTATAACACCTTAATTCCTCACACAAAGTAATATTAGGTTTGTACTTGTAACCCCCAATCTTAGAATTCCACACCTCGGCCATGTTATTTGTGATGTTGTCACACTTTGGCCAATGGTTACAATATGCCTTCACCCAACACGCAGGATCAATCTTATCAAGATACTTCAAGCTCCCTCACTCAACCCTTTCAACCTTTGCATGGCTCTATGGAAATGTGGGACAGTTGTACATTTGGAACACTCCTGAACAATTCCTCTAATTTGCTTATCCTTCTATTGCATGATGAAGTTTTTCCACACATGTTGCACATAATATCTGCAATGTGCACCAGACATAACCTCTTTCAAAGCTGGCACCAAATCATGAAACAAAGAACCAAACAAATATTTAAAAATTAATTTAAAACATAAATGGAAAATAAATTTATAGAACATAATTGCAATACCTTTTGTTGACCTGAAATAAAGTTTTTCCAACCATAAACTCTATGGTACCCTGAGTCTTCTTGTAGTAAAGTCAAAAACCACTTTCAATTTTCCTTTGTCTCACTGTCAACCATAACAAAACCAATAACATTAAACTGCTTGTTTGTGTCTTCTCCAACTGCACTCAACAATTGTCCCCGTAGTAGCCTTTTAATAAACAACCATCTAATCCAATTAATGGCCTGCAACCAGCCTTGAAACCTTCTTGCAGGTATCAAGACATATATACAGCTTGTTAAATAATGGTGGGGCTTATGAGACAGTTTGAGGTATCACCTGCATCTGGCAAGTGGATCCTGGATTGCTCCTCAATAGCTCTGCTAGATATTCCCTTAAGTTGGCGTATTGTTCTTTCTCACAGCCTTCAATACTGATTTTGGCCTTCTTAACTGCCTTGCTAACTTTCTTCATATTTAAATGTGTATTGTATTTCATTTTCATGTGTTAAAATGCTTCAGACCTTGTCATGTTGGGCTGTGTGGTTATCCTCTTCTCTAATTTATTTGCAACTTAATCTCCACGAGCCCTTTTATTTTGGAACACTTTTACAACAAGAGTGTGCATTATTAAATATTTTGATTTGGAAAGTCCTCAATTTGTTGTTCCAAGCACAATAAATCAACCAATTACAGCCTTCAACGTTGCATCTTGCCCTTGCTCTGACCTTGTTACTCTTTAAATCAGCATGTTCATTAAATTGTGGAAACATAGGGCTCAAATGCTCCTCATCATCACTTGATGAAGGAGTCTTTAGTTTTTTCAGAATTATATTTATACCCATATTCTTTGAATGACATATAGTCCTTATCTTCATCCACTTTTTCATCTGAGGCCTGCTGCCTTGCATCCTTCTTACTCTGAGTCTTCTTCTCATTGCTTTTATTTGCAGATTTTTTCTTTTTGGGGCCAGAATCATGCCTCTCTTCATCTTCTGGTTGGTCCTCTACACCTAGGGGAGGAGGCTTATATGGCTCATCATCTACACTGTCATATGAATCGGTAGACACCCCAACAGAATACATCCCATTATCCTCCTCACTATCGTGTTCAACATAAAACATCCCATTATCTTCCTCACTGTCATGTGGAGGTGTTATAATTTCAGTAGTTGAAATGCAGTCTTCAAAATAAATATGTTCCTATTCCCATGAGCTAATGCATTGACGTCAGAATCTTACTAAGAGGTTTTAAACCTTTCTCTAAATTAGGCTCATCAGGCTTAATCCACATCACCTTTACATATTTTTCATACCCAAATCCCTTAAAAAGAGTATCGAGGTCACGCAAGTTAACAAAGTCAACATCCATCTCAGGCAACTCATCAACTAAACCATTTACATAGGTCAACACCCCCATCAGGATTTCTCATTAACAATCCCCTATGATGATGCACAATCACTATATATTCATCCATCTGTAAAACCCAAATAACTAACATCCTTTAATCCGATGAATTTATAAGAAAAATAAACAAACCACGAAGCAATTAATTTAAATACCACATGCATAATGTAGTTAATTTTTGAAACGTGCAAGGAGATTACTAAAAAAAG